AAACTTGCACTAATATTTTCTGTAGTTGTTTCTGTTTTTGCAAAAACACAACAGGATTCCCCCCTGCTCTTTTAACCTGAGTGGTACATTTTGCTCGTCTATTTACAGCTATATTTATCCTAAAAACACAGAATCATAGAATCATTCAGGTTGGAAAAGACCTCTAAGATCATCAAGTCCGACCATCAAATTTAGATTTAGTGTCCTGAAGCCTCACGGTTACTCTTAGTATTTTTGTCTTTAAGTTTAGGTCTCTCAAACTGGCAGTCTTTGACTGATAGGTTACACCAGATGAAAAACTGCCCTTTTTAGCCATAGCTATCACGTATGCAACAGTTCCAAACAACATATTGCAGACGTGGTAGTTACTTTCACAGCTTAACGAACTGAAAGGCTGCAAGAAGTCTTTCCATTCTTAATGTACTTACCTAGGTCAGCCGTAGTAGCCAGCAGCAGTACAAAAAAGCTCTGCAAGTCCATGTTCTTTGCTGGTGTGCTACACAAGACAAACTTTCATCCAATTTTACATTGTTTGTTATACCCAACACGGGTAAAAGAAACAGAGAACAGTATTTAAACAGACAGTATTTAAAGAATCCTTTCTGCAAGCTTGTTTAAACAAGGTACTTAACAATAATGTTCATCTTGATTATGAGTGTTTCATTTCACAGATCACTGAGAAACCATAGTCTATGTACATAGACTGTACATAAGCGGCAGAATGATTTGCAAACACCAACAAAAGCTGAATTCTCATCTACAGAGAAGCAAAGTAGAAGGCTTTTTGTTTCTATCAGTGCCCAGTTCTAAAGAAAGCATAAATAAATTTTTATTCAGTCATTGGATGACAGCTAAATATACGTTATAAAAAAATCTTACGTCAAATCTTTGTTGTCCGTAGTTAACTAAAGTTTAGGAAGTGTTCAATTGTCACACATTAATTACCACATTATTAAATCCATCCTGTTTGTAAGCTTCTCAAAGGACTGAGACCAATTCCTACCTCTGACTCATCCTCTCCCACCCCCCAAAATATAAGTATGACTTTACAACGTATTCTTAGGAACCGCATCAATCTTCAATGGCATTTACTTACCAGAGGCAATACAGCCATGTTACAACATGAAGGTACTACGGAGTTCCATGGCAACTACCAATGCATTTGAAATGCTTTAATTATATTTGAGCTTTTTCCTCCTCATTGTTTCCCCCCCCCCAACTATCCTGCCTTACAGAGTTTGCAGTAAAAATAATTCTTCTTCACAGCTAACGTGTCTTTCAGATATCTTCCAGAATCTCAGCTACTTCTCTTTTCACGACGTTTTAGGCACTGTGAAATAGATTACAAAAATGTAAGTTAGGAAGTCAAATCTTTTTAAGAGACAACTAGCCACCTGACTGATAGCCTGGATATTTTGCACAGATTAGTATTTTTAGATGAGCACAAGCATTTTTAAATATTTCTGCTGTTCCAAATGCTGTAAACAAACCAGAGTGCTATGCCAACAGGAATCTGTGGGAAAATTTGAGCGACGCCTGCTTACACTATACCCACCTTATTACAAATTTTATTACTCATTCATTTTAGTAAGCTCTAATCTAGGTTATTATGCCACACCCATCACCATGGGAATGTGACTTAAAAGTACCAGAAATACTTTGCTATTCAGCTTTTTCTCAGACCTTGTAGTGTGATGATCTGATTGCAGTTTCCACATACAAAGACAATTTGAGTAGTCTGACAGATTCAAAAAATTCAGTAATTCAAAGCATCTTCAGTGTGGCAACAAAGTATGGCACTTGATAAGAACACCAAAGTACAGAGAAAAAGCTAAGAGATCAAGATGAATTCATTCCTAAGCATGAGAGAAACAGCACTCCCCATCCCTAATTAACTGTATGTCTTACAGCAGAGGTAAATACAGTAGGAGTTTTACTTACTGGTTCTGCTCCATAATTCTCATAGCATTATCCATACCAACCGCCACCTCCACACAAAGGACAATTTAAAAAATAAGAATTAAAAAAACAATTTAAAAGATACCTTTGAGTGCCCAGTATTTTGTATGATTACCCTTATTTCAAATTAATTACTAGAAGTTGAAAATTGTACAGTTCCTGCCACAGGCTGGTGGCAGC